CGTTGACCGACGGAGGCCCGGCGGTGGTCGGCGGACTGGTGGAAGTTTGGCGGTGTCGGCGAACTGGCGGAAGTTTGTCGGTGCTCGGGAAGAACTCCGGTTGTGCTCGGCGGACAGGCGGAAGTCCGGTGATGGTTAGAATAACTATAGTGGTGGTTGTCGGATGGGCGGAAGTTCGAAGGTTGTCGATGGACAAGCAGAAGTCCGGTGGTGGTCGAGAAGAACTACAACGGTGGTCGGCAAATGGGCGAAAGTCTGGCAGTAGTTGGCGGACTGGCGGAAGTCCGTCGGTGGTCAGTAAGAACTACATCAGTGGTCGGCAGACGGACGGAAGTCTGGCGGTAATCAGTGGACTTGCGAAAGTCCGGCGGTGGTTGGGAAGAACTTCGACTGTGGTCGGCGGACGGGCGAAAGTACGACAGTGGTTGGCGGACTGGCGGAAGTCCGACTGTGGTCGGCAGACTGGCGAAGTTCGTCAGTGGTTGAGAAGAACTCCGACAGTGATCGATTGCAAGCAATCTCCCAAATTCTTCCCTTCTCCCCCTTTCTCCTCCTCTTTCTCCCCTCTAAAATTATAACATATTAATAATTAACGTTGAAAAAAAAAAAGATTTTCATTATAAAAATTTCTATAAAGCTATAAAGAAGCAATAGTCAAAATGAACTGTGGTTACGATCTAAAAATTAAAACATTGTGAAAGCTATGCCAAATAGGCTCTTAGACTTTGTTTGAAATAAAATTTTAAAATAATTTTTTACAAAAAAAATTTAAAAGTAGAAAAAAATAATGACCAAAAACTATTTCAAATGAAGCCAAAATGTACCTTAATGACTTGAACTGAGAAGCCTATCAGCGAGTTTAATGGCTTGGTAGCACGATATAATTTGATTCATAATAACAATAAATTTAATTTATTACGCCCAAATCACCTTAAGTGTACCGATTGACCGTTGCAGGAAAAAAAAAATCAAAGCTTTCTTATTTAAAATGAGGGTGGAGATGCGAAATGACAATTGGTCAACGAAGTCTTTAATGCATAGTACTTAGAATAGACGCCGCTGCGAAGATAAAGCTTAAATTTTTTTCGAGTTAAATGAACAAGAATACTTCGTGTCTCACACCCCAATAAAAACACACAGATTTGGCCGATAAAAAGGGAATTGAAGTGGAAGAGGGAGAGACAGAGAGATTTAAAGCTTAGAAAGGGGAGCAATGGCTTCTCTTGCATCTTTGTCGCTCGGTTCCTATTTCTATGATATCTGCACCTTCGCCGCTGGCCTTGCAGGTTTTCAAATTACATATTTAACCCGATTTATCCTATATAGTCACTTTGATGTTTTGATTGTGCTTGTGATCTTGGTTTTGTTTGGAAGAAATTAACGATCTGAGGATTTCATAGTTTTGGGGCTTTCTGATTTCTATATCGTCGGCAATTTCTTCCTTTTTCTGAAACGTGTTTGATTTGTACATTATGTATATTTGATTGCAGGAAACCTGTTTGCTTTTGTGCTCTTTGTCTCGCCAATGTAAGTTTTTCTTCAAAATCGTCTCTTTTTTACTCTTAAAACTCAGCTCCTCCTGGTTCTAAGAGAAGGAAAATTTTGTTTAATATTTTGCAGACCAACTTTTAGAAGAATTGTTAGAAACCAATCAACCGAGCAGTTCTCAGGTCTTCCCTACTTGTATTCCCTTCTAAACTGCTTAATCTGCTTCTGGTATGGTCTGCCGATTGTCTCCTATGGTGTGATCTTGGTGGCAACAGTCAACTCCATTGGAGCCATTTTCCAGCTCGTTTATGTCAGCCTTTTTATAATATTCGCTGATAATGCTAAGAAAGTATGAATATGCTGAAGTGATTATGATGTGTAAACATTATGTTCTGTTTGAGCTACGATTAATATGTTGATGTTCTAATTTGCAGCTCAAAATGTGTGGAATGTTGATTGGAGTTTTTGCCATTTTTGGTCTGATAACTTTTCTTAGCCTCCAGATGTTTGATCATCAAAGCCGGCAGATTTTCGTTGGATATATCAACGTTGCTTCTCTCATTTCCATGTTTGCTTCACCCTTATTCATCATAGTATGCATCAAATTCTGATTTTTCTTCTGCGTTTGTATCTGTTTTTTGCAGAAAGTGATAGTATCTTATCTGTTTGTGCTTTGCTGATACCAGAACTTGGTGATCAAGACGAAAAGCGTCGAGTTCATGCCTTTTCATCTTTCACTTGCAACATTCCTTATGAGCATTTCATTCTTTGCATATGGGATGCTGCTGCGTGACTTCTTCATTTATGTAAGAATCTGAAAAAAACCAGACTTTGTTTTACTGCCATTGCTGTTATTTCAGCCAACTGCATTAATGATTTAGACTTCGTTTGGGATGGCTTTCTTACCATTTCTTAAAGCAATTTTTTTTTACAAATTTTTAATTTTTTTATTAAAAAGCTGTTTTAAGAAAGAGTAAGAAAGCCGTCCTAAACAAAGTCTTTTTATATTGAACTGATTCGTCATTTCAAATATGAATTTCAGATCCCAAATGGTATAGGATCAGTGTTGGGGGTCATACAGCTTCTGCTCTATGGACACTACAGAGAAAAATCAAGAGAAGAGTACACACTTCCTTTATTTGTTTCATGATTGGCAAGGCAAACTTGCATGTATCTCCAGTTGTAATTATTGAAATTATATTGTTTATTTGTATGGCTTTCCAAAGAGTAAAGTGGGAAAAGTTTTGGAGATTGCTGTCGTATGTTCTTAATCTTTGTGTCAGGTTGTAAGTTACCTGGAGATCTTGGAGTTACAAGCCTGAAGCTAAGTAATAATTTGTAATAGATAAGATCTGAGTTGGAAGCAATAAGATGAAGACTTCTGAAAGTTTCTCAGCAGGAATTACAGATATAGTATTCGGTCTAACTTGAGCTGCTGTATCGAAAGAGGGTCAACAATAACTATCTAAGGAGAAGAAGAGTAGAAATGCTCCACGAGTTATTTCCTGGCAAACGTAACGTAGGAGATCAACAAATCCAGCAAAACAAGAACAGGTCAGCGCAAAAGTTTTGCTTGAACAAGACCCGACCAAGCTGCTTAAGTTCATGAAAGCACCTGATAGAGATTTTTGAGATAATTTTTTTATTATTTTTAAAACTGTTTTTTAGTATAAAAATTTCTTGAAAGTAGTAAAAAATTGTAACAAAAAACAGTCCCAAATGAAGCAGTAGTTAATGAATCGTTGCTAATGGGTTAAGGCTTCAGTTGGGATGGCTTTTTTATTGATTCGTAAAGCTGCTTTTTAGTACAAAAATTAAGAAAGCCGTTCTAAATGAAGCCTAAGAGGAGGCTACCGCTAATTTAGAGAATTGTGGTATATTAAAAAGCAGTTCTAAATTACCCAAAAAAAAAAAAAAACTACATTGGAATGAGATGGTAAGGTAATAATAATAAATCTACATTGGAATGTTGTGTGCGACATAAATTTAGTATACAACGAGGAAACTCGGGTTTTGTTTGGATTGATTTTCTTACTGTTTTGTAATGATACTTTTTAGTAAGTAAATATTTTGAAAGTACGAAAAAAAAATAGTGATATAAAACTATCCCAAATTAAACCTTAATTAATTTGATCTCAATATAATATATGATGATTGTTAACCATTGTAGGATGATTTTAACTTAGTATGAAATGAATACAGAGTAGATGATTACACACATAGTGTTGACCTTGTTTTCAATTAAAAAAAAAACATGATATCTTTTTAAAATTAAAATCAAGCCGTATTTTGAGTTATGTGAAGTTGATTTAGTCAAATAAATAAAATTGAACTACGTTGAATTGATATGAGTACGATTCGATCTCGGCGTATCATCGACCATTAAATTGTGTCGAGCCAAGCATGAATTAATCAAAACTAATTTGATTTTTGTGAAATAAGTTCAATCGAGAGTTACCGAGTCAATTCAACTCGGCTCGAATACAATTTTAAGCTCAAAGGCTTCTCTCGGCCAAATTTAATATGTCTCATCTTAAGCTAAATCAAATCAATGTCGATTAGCATGAATCAATTTAATCATTTGAATTCAAATCCAAAAAATAAAAACTATGCATGCTCTAACTAAATATTGCACTTAAACTTACCCAAAAATTTGAAAAACTACACTCAAACATTTTCCAAGAAATGGAAATCTGCATTCTCCATCTCCCAAAATTAAAATCTACAACCATATGCATCTATGAAACTAAAACTTTTCATGCTCTGTTCAAATTTTAGGTTGAATTTATTCAATTCTCTTTTTTTGGTTAAAGCCACATAGGGATCTATGCATTCCATAAAAAAAGAAGTACAAGTCCTTAAAGGATCATAAGCTCTCTAAAAGAACAACATTTGAAATAAAACATATTGAGCATGAGATCCTATCTAGCACAATAAGAGAAAAGCCAAAAAAAAAAAAACAAGCAAAATGGCAAATGATCAGCAACGCCAGCAAGAAGAACCTGCAACCAGATGAAAGACTCCAAAGCAAAGAAGAAACAACTTGCAAAAGGAAAGAGAAACCACCCACATCAATAACATAACAAAATAAAAGACCCAAAACACAAAACTAATAGAGAATCCAAACAAATACCAAAGCAGTCGAAACAATCATAACAAAGCCACCCAACAAAAGAATCAGCTCCAAGCCAACATAACAAGAAAAGGCACCCCAAACCAGATAACAAACAAAAGAACACCACCACCCATAGCACAACAAACACAACACCAACAACATAAACCAACACACACGGACAACAAAAAAACTAGAAGGCCAACAAAGGCCACACAGAGCCTAGCCAAAGGCACCGCAAAAAAAAAAAACTTCTTTTTAGTTTTCTTTTTATTTTCCGTCTGCTTCGCTTAGGAACACCATTCTAGAAAAGCACCATCTTCAATATGAACCACCTTCAAGCCAAACAAATCTTGAAAATAATCACTATGATCCACCTTATCATCCTCATCACCCAGACAATCAGATTAGTAACTCATCCAGCCAATTGGACTGATCCACACATGACTCATTTGAGTTTAAAGCCAACTGGGCATTCAAAGCATTCTTAGAAATAAGAGAGATAGTAAGGTCAACAATAGTCACATTTTTATCCAAATTAGGAGGCACACCTGAATTAGACAAAGGAAAGTCAGCAAAAACCAACACAATCCCCTAGAAGAATCACTGAAATCAACTCTATTAACATCACAAACTTTCACATTAACATCATATAAATTCTCACTATAAAGAGTATTATCTTTAGCAATTCTCTCACAAACAACGAGGGAATTCTCACAAGTAACCGTTAAAGAAAAATTATTACCATACATAATATTAATGACCTCACTTTGATCACAATTAGGCATTTCAAATAAAGGAGAACTATAATGAGAATGAGAAGAAATACCCACAGGTAGCAGAGTATCTCTACCATCCTCCATAACAACATAACCACCAATAGGCACATCACCAGAAGGTTCTAATTGACATACGGATGGTACAAAAGATCAGAATCAACAAGGATAACTTTTTGGAAATATCAAGTTCAACAAGGACTCAAGCTACAGACGGTTGAGAACTAACGTCAGTGGCATTATCAGTTTTTAACGGATGACCAAAAGGCAAATCCAAGCCGTGAAGTATGCGAGGGGGGGGGGGGGGGGGGGGGGGGGGAGGAGGAGGAGGAGGAATGAATGAGGCCTAAGATTTGGGAACGACACCCAAATAGGGATGATCGGAGATTCTACCATAATATCAAAATAAGGTGATCACTTAAATAACTTCAAATAGCAATTGGAGACGAAGTAAGATCGATGAGAAAAAACTCTACTATAATCTATATTATTAACCAGCTTAATTAAAACATGCTTAGGATTCAAAATAATGACAGAGCAATCCCAATTCAACTTTAAGTTAAAGAAGAACATACGAATCGACTCTAGAGGTGGACTGTGATTTAAAAATTTACTAACCAACGTAAACTCAAAAAGGTTGCTTTAGATCAAGGATTTCCTGCTCTGAAATCCATAGCGATAGAATCCCATGATGTGTTGTGAATTTGAGGTTGAGAAATCTGTTCGTAACGGAAGCACAATACAAATGCTTCTAGAAATTAGCAAGTATTTTTTTGGCCACAAACAAAACCACCGTTTGACAAGCGATTAACAGCCATCCAATCGAAATACGACTGGAGGTGGAAAGATCATAAACCAAAATGAAGAAGGAAATAGAGCAAGAGAGGGAACAAATATTAGGAGAAGAAATCACAGAGGAGCGACCAATGAAGATGCGAAGAAACTTGGAAAGGGCTATAGGGCAGAAGCCCTATCAGAGCCATTTGTTCCCACTAATTATCAAATTATTTGAATTTATCAACCTCTAAATAATAGTCAAGGTCTGAATTTATTTATTCATCTTAGAAGGATTGATGGTTGCATATCTTTTTATTTGAGAGATTGAATGATTGCACTAATCCCTCTCACAAAAACAACTAATGGCTACAATCTTTCCTTTTCTTAATAATATTTATATATTCTAATAAATATAAAGTTATATGAATGATATTAGTATGATAATATAATTATTTTAATACTTTTACTATATCTCTTATGCATCATATCACTATTCTTTTATTATGAATAATTTCTTTATTTGAAAATATGTATAATATTTTTTACAAATATAATACATTCTCTTCTTTTCACATCTCCTATTCATATCAATTTAAATGCGAAATATATAAATACCATGTATAATATATATTATATATATTATATTATATATATATATAATATGTATATTAATATATTAATATATATATATAATATATATATATATATATATACTACCTATTAATTTTAATTTTTTTACATAATATTCAAATATTTACATCACATCAAAAATTATTAATATAATATTCTTTACATATATTTTGATATGATTAAGAAACTAAAATATTATAAAAATATGTAATATACATATATTCTAAATTAAAATAGTTTTGACTTTTATGTGGCATGGATGAGATAAGCCCAATTTAATTTCATTCCAATTGGACCAATTCCAGCTATGGGGCTTATTCCGCCCAGCCCATTTAATTTCGAATAGGATTCTCCACCCATTTTGCTTTCCTCTTTTTCTGATAAGTCATTCTGGAGCGTCATCATCTCCGTCTCGTTCGCCACACCGGCTCATTGTGACGTCGCCTTGGCCATTGCCAGGCCGTCATCCATCATCGTCGCTTGCCATTGCTACGCTGTCCTCCTATTCATTATCCTTGGTCTTCAATGCCGCCAAGTAACTTTACTTCGATGCTATTTTAGGTCTTTCTGATTTTTCATCCTATTGAATACTGAATTTCAGTTAATATAGCATGCCTTATCGTAGGGCTGTCAATTTGTGTCGGCGGGTCGTGTTCGGGTCAGACCCAAATTTGACCCGTTTGTATTTGATCCGACCCGGACACGACTCGAAACAAGTTTCGAGTCAATTCTCTGGACCCGAACCCGACCCGGATCGGGTTCGGGTCAACACGACCCGACACAGAATTTTGAAATATGCGGTTTTCGGTCAC